AAATATCACATGGTCCTAAATATTCAGACCCTTTGCTAAAATGTCAACAATTCTGTGTTTTTCTGTCAATATGGGGTGCTGTGTGTACATTAATGAGGAAAAAAATTTACTTAAATGATTTTAGCAAATGGCTGCAATATAACAAAGAGTGAAAAATTTAAGGGGGTTTGAATACTTTCTGTACCCACTGTATATATATAATAAAAATATATTTTATGAAACTTCCTCAAGCCATCTACTGTACACACTCTTACTTTCTTCGTTCAAAATAAGTGTGCCTAATTTTGTCTAAAGAATTGAGTTTAAATGTAGTCTCAAGGGTAATTATCTCCACTCCACACATTGAACCCTGATAGAAGACATGAAGTATATTAGCAAAAACCATTGACATGTGCAAAATTACACTTGATTCACCGGTTATTTACTACCTTAGTAATAAAAGAGCATAACAGTAGCAATTTCAAAACATTAGTGTCACACTGCAATTATGGGTTATTTGGAAAGACAGGACATAATAGCTGACACACTCTCGAACACGTTTATCTTAGCCTGTGATGTGCTCAAATACGCTGCATGGGACAATGCTGCGAACCTCATAAACTTCTGTGTGGCTGCAATGCCATGGTGATTTATGTTGTACTATTGTTCCCACCATGCTTTCAAGATGTCCTATTTTTTTTACAGCTTTGTTTTTTTTTATGTCACTCACTGATAAAATCATGTTTTTTTCCCCTTTCACATACAATAAGTGGCTGTTTCTTTAGGCTCTGTGGACTTTGAGAAATGAAACGACCCTAAAACACACTCTGGGTAGTTTATTTAATTTGTCTGCTGACAGTGTCCAACACACAAATGCAAAACAAAAAGCTTTTTTTTTTTGTCTCAATGGGAAAAAACTATTTCCATAATGCATTAAATTACTATTCATTCTCTGATGGAAATGACTTTTTTTTTTCTAGAATAAAATTGACAACTTTTTTGCTCTTCACCAGCACTTAATTTTTTTTGGGGGGGAGTGGCAAAATTAATACAAATGGGTCAAAGACGAAAAAGGGTAAACAATACGTGTAATACTGCTTTAAATTGTTGTTGTTTTTCCACCCCAAAAATTTAAAGTTTTCTTTTTAAATTGCAATTTTGTTTTTGTTTTTCCGAGCAAAAAATAAATATCATACATTTTTCCCTGATTTACAGAAGAGACCCACTAAAATGTCATTCAGTGTAACAATCTTGTCAGGCATATTTACAACAAAAATCTATTTATGACATATTAAAAGACTAATTACTTTCACCCCAAATACTAATTAGTTGTAATTTTACATTTTTAAAATGTGCCACTATCCTAGGTTTTGCCCATTTGTCAGTAATAATTTTTACTCATTTAAAACACAATAAAATGTAATATGCTCCCTTATTCGTTTATATATTTTAATATGTACAAGTCAGAATAAGCATGTTGTATGAATTGTTAGTGTTACACTGAATGACAATGTAACATTATTTCAACCAAATTTTAACATTTTATTCTCCAAAAACTTATTTGAAACCTTAAAAGTAGACACTTTACTTACATTTAATGTGCTTTCTATGGACATAAAATCACTTTTGTACATTTCTTTTGATGCGGACATCTTAACGTCTTTGACCCAAATACATATACATTATTTTCCCACAATAAATACTGAAATAAAATATGATTTATTTAGATTATCAAAGACATATTGATAATCGTATATATTTTATAAATGTAATATTCAAAATGTAATTAACATTAAATATTAATTTAATATTTTAATTACAGCATTGCTTTATGCATTTCAGAATATTTTAATGACACTTTTTTTTATATAGTTTAAGATTGAAAACCTGTCTGGACATAGATAGGTAGGTAGGTAGGTAGATGGATAGATACACACCAGATTATCCATGTGTCCTTAGATTACGGTATTATAGGTGTCATTCAAGAATGTGAAAGTGTCACACACACACTTTCTCTCTCTCTCTCACACACACACACACACATCAAAGAGCTGCTCTCACCCTCCCTCAGCACTGAGCTGATGACAGACTCACTGATGAAAGCATATAAATATGTCTTCAATGATATCAGCACTGCATCTCACTGTATAAGACCCTTTCATATCTGTGCTCTACAGGAGCAGGAAAGTCTGTATATCTACAAATATTCTGATGGTGTATGATGCATGTTGCATAACATTTGAGCTGCACTTCAATAATCTGACAGCAAAAAGTCCGACATATCTGTATAATAAGCGTCTTTGATGAGAAAGCATCTGCTTTAAAGCATAAATGTCAACATTTTGCAAGGCTCATTGAAGATTATGATTCAACAAGCATTGTAAAAGTCAATCCTGTGATCGTCTTATTTTTAGCAGTGTTTTCATAATGCTTGCAAAGCAGTCATTACAATAAAAAAAAAAACTGCAGGTCATGACACGTTTAAAGACAGGGATCTATATCCATCCATCCTACTGGTAAAAAGCATGGAATTAATGAACATTTGTTTTGTTTTTGGAAGACATCTCTTATGCTTAGGCTATTAGAACCAAAATCTGTTTGTCTAGTGTCCAAACCATTACAATTTGAGTCTTTATCATTCACTGCATTCTGACAATTGGTAAATCCAACATTAGCAATCTTGTTCCTTGTTGATGTTTTTCAGCTATTTCTATTATTTTTGTCCTCAGCCCATCCGATTTGTAGATTTTAGGTGTTTCTCTGGACTCGCTCCATTTCAGGTCATGGTGCCACTAGTAATGAGACCTAGAGCCAAACTGAAAAACTAATGAATGACAAATTCTAAGCTTAACCAGTCTGGGAGACCAGATGAGACCTACAAACCTGATCTGACTGATTTAAGATGCAGTTATGGAACTAAATCGCTCCCATTATAATCAACACCTCAAGCGACGGATTGTAATGGGAGGTGATTTCGTGTGCCGATTTATCATTCACAGTCAGTATAGTAGCTACTGACAGTTTGTTACTACCACTGAAAAAATAAAAAAAGAAATAAAAAAATAAGTCAATTCATCATGTTAACGGTAATGCCATATACAGTGGGTACGGAAAGTATTCAGACCCCCTTAAATTTTTCACTCTGTTATATTGCAGCCATTTGCTAAAATCATTTAAGTTAATTTTTTTTCCTCATTAATGTACACACAGCACCCCATATTGACAGAAAAACACAGAATTGTTGACATGTTTGCAGATTTATTAAAAAAGAAAAACTGAAATATCACATGATCCTAAGTATTCAGACCCTTTGCTCAGTATTTAGTAGAAGCACCCTTTTGATCTAATACATCCATGAGTCTTTTTGGGAAAGATGCAACAAGTTTTTCACACCTGGATTTGGGGATCCTCTGCCATTCCTCCTTACAGATCCTCTCCAATTCTGTCTGGTTGGATGGTAAACGTTGGTGGACAGCCATTTTTAGGTCTCTCCAGAGATGCTCAATTGGGTTTAAGTCAGGGCTCTGGCTGGGCCATTCAAGAACAGTCACAGAGTTGTTGTGAAGCCACTCCTTCGTTATTTTAGCTGTGTGCTTAGGGTCATTGTCTTGTTGGAAGGTAAACCTTCGGCCCAGTCTGAGGTCCACTCTGGAGAAGGTATCACATGGTCTAATAATCAAACACAGCTGGACTCAAATGAAGGTGTAGAACCATCTCAAGGATGATCAGAAGAAATGGACAGCACCTGAGTTAAATATATGAGTGTCACAGCAAAGGGTCTGAATACTTAGGATCATGTGATATTTCAGTTTTTCTTTTTTAATAAATCTGCAAACATGTCAACAATTCTGTGTTTTTCTGTCAATATGGGGTGCTGTGTGTACATTAATGAGGAAAAAAAATTAACTTAAATGATTTTAGCAAATGGCTGCAATATAACAGAGTGAAAAATTTAAGGGGGTCTGAATACTTTCCGTACCCACTGTATATATATATTTTTTGACAGGAATGAAAACGAGGTTGAGGGATTGAAGTACAGTGCATTCATGGATTGTAATGTTGTTTAACAACCCCTTACGAAAATTAACCGTGGTTTTGTTATAGTAAAAGTGCAGCAACCATGTTTTTTGGCATATTGATTACCATTTGTATGACCACAGTTTTACTACAAATACCATGGTTAAGCTGTGGTTAGTGTAGCAACTAGTAACCTTTTTTTTGTAGTAAAACAATGGTTAATTTTCGGCAGGGACATACTTGTTTAGCTAAAGAAACTGAAAGACTTCTACACAGTGCATTCCATTCTAAACTGTAAATCTCTCTCACACAGCCTCGTTTTCATCTGTTAAGATTCTATATGGCTTCTAACCTGAAATAGGAAAAAGGATTGTGGTGCCAATACGGAATGTAAAAGTCGTTCGTAGCGGATCGTTAAAAGGACATTTCATCCAAAAAGATTGGGACATTATGAGTTAAAAATGACTAGTTTTAAATAATTATGTACAGGACTGTTCTCGATTTTACAGAACGTATGCATTTACAAACTGAAATGACTTTACTGCCACCTGTTGGCTTCAAAACATAAAATGCAGTGTGCTGCCCTGCAAACTAAGTTTTTAAATAGTCATGCCATTTAGTCTCTCCACTCTGCAAACAATGGATTTTCGAAATTACCCATTTTAAAGACTCCCTGATAAATCAGACCTAAATAGAAACTGAATCACCCAGCTGACAGACAAGAGCAGACAGTAGAAAATCAATACATTTCAAAATTCAATAAACAGACCAGGGGCCTGTTCCATAAAACAAGTTTACCAAATAAGCCAGGATTATTCAAGTTAGTCTGACTTATTGCCAGTAGATTTGGTTCACAACAAGTCAGACTAACTGAAATAAGCCTGGCTTATTTGATAAACTTGTTTTATGAAACAGGCCCCGAGACTCAAGTAGGTCAGGCCTTGCCCAGATCAACAGCATGATCGATTCTCATACAGAATTGTGCGCGATTCAGAGACAGAACCTTTTCCTTCTTGCTGGCACAGATAGCGTTTTATTACAAAAAGAAAAAAGTCGTTGCATGATCATTGTAGCATTACCAGGAATATGTTGCATTCCCATCACTCTTCAGGTAGAAAGGTTGACTTGTTTGGAGAGGATAACGGTTATAAAAGTTGGGCTGTACTGAATGCAGGCCCGTAGGTAAGAATCACTCTTACTAGCTACATGCAAATGGAGACCCATCTGTCCATTCACTCCAGATTTGAATTTCATCAAGAAGGGGGCGTGTAAGTAGCATACCATCTCTTTGAGAATAAATTAAGTTAAAAACTATACCAAAAAGTGTTTCTTTTGTTCAAATCTTGCTTATGTTGAAAGGATACAAGAAACATTTACAAATAACACGGGTGGCAAAATAAATCATAATTTCTGAATATCTCAAAGCAGTCGCCCCTAACAATAAGCTTAAAAATAAAACAGACCGACATAAGTTGCCAATTTAAGATGTCTGTGGCAGCTGTTGCTTTTACTTGGAAATTAAATAGCAGATTTGTGCACAAGAGGAAAATCCTATCAACAAGACAGCTTATGTTTTGGTCACACATTAACGTCCCAATCGGTATATTTCGGTTTTATCAATCCTGTTTCTGTATACATTTGTCTTTTATAAAATATTTTTTTATTCATACAATCATTTTTAACTATAGCAACATTACTATTCACTTTTAAGTGGCAAGATGTCAGACAGATCACCTCATAAGAACAATAGTATATAAACGAATGCAAAAAAAAAAAATCATTAGAGTATGTTTCTCTTCATAACAGTTCAAATTTTCTGTACAACTGTCTAATATGAATATTGCTGGTCCTGATCTGGTGGCATCAGTGCAGTGCTGGAGTAAGAGACAGCAGCAGCAGCAGCGGTGGTGGTGGTGGTGGTTTCTGGGGGGCTCCAGTCTTGCACAGGCCTCTCCGGGTGGTCCTGGAGGAGGGGTGTGCTCGTGGCAGGAGCTGACTGACGGCACTACTCTCATCATGCCGGACCGTTCACTGCTGCCTCGGGGTTGGCCGTGCGCTGCTCTGATCTGGTTGGGGAAAGGAGAGGGGCTTGATGTCAGGGGTGGAAACAACACTAAACTAGAGGAAATGGGAAAAAGTGGAGGGCACAGAACTCACTTGGCTTCGTCCATAGCGGCAGCATCCTCAAGAGGACCATTTAGAGCTTTGCAAGTGGCTTTTGCTTTCTCTTCTAAGTGCTTTAGACTGAAGGAAGAAAAAAAGATGACAATGTTGGTTAAATGACAGTTTAAAAAAAAAAAAAAAAAAAAAAAAAGTAATTTTGCGGAGAAAATTATTTCCCTATACACAAAAGAAATGGAAACATTTTAAAATGACAACGGTGATACATTTTCTATATTTAGATCATATCTGTATGACATCTGAAATTAATGCATTATACACACAAAATATGTAATATATAATTTAAATATTTAAACCATGAATATATTCATTCATCAACAGCCAGCAGATTCAGGAAACAACACAAGAGGGAGCTAGTACTAGGGCCCTATGAAAACGGTTTTATTTTTTTCCCAAATTCCATTTAATTTTTTTCCAACTTGCATTTTTTCGGTTTAAATTTTTCTGGATTCCGTTTTTTCCCCCCCATTTAATTTTTTTTAGATTTTAATGGTCCAATTACAAAAATATTAAACAAAAACATGATTAATTGAAATTATGAAACTCAGACTATTGAACTTCAATTTATAAAAAAATGTAACAAAATGACATTAAGGCCCTATGAATAATTTTCTCAAAAGAAACTGTAAAGACCTCCTGAAGTGACTCTCAGAGCAGATCTGTAGATTGTTTGTGTTCATGTAATCATATTGAGCGGCAGAGGCTGGAAACACTGAGCGTTACGCGCGCTTCAGTATGCGTGTAGTAAACGAAACTGCACATCTGCGCCATTTATTCACACGCAGAACATGCAGGATTCATATTTAAATAGTACTTTTGCGGCTTAATATTCAAACACTTGATTTATCCATCCAAAATTTGACTGGATTCCACAATTCCACCCGCGTTTTTTGCATTGCGGAAATCATAGGGCCCTATAGTACTTATGGCAATAACCTCAAAATCCCAAACATCTCCTGAGATATAATTTAGAAAAAACTATTTTGATAATTTTGCTTCTGTATATTAATAATCAAATTAATTATATTATTTCAATTAACAAAAAATGTTAATCAAAATCAATTTTAGTTCACAATAACAACTCTGGTCCCCTAGACTCTACTAATAGCAAAGGATTCATTTTATTAATACTTTATTGACTTCACAAATAAAGACTCTTACCCTGGTTTCTGACAGTTGCTAGGAGGACAATTGCTTTTCTCCACTTCCCCACTCTCTGCAAACAATTTTGCAGATGCATCTTCAGAGGTAGATTGTTTCTCTTCCTCACTACAGGACGATCAGAGAGGACAGCGTTTTAAAGAGCTTTCATTGCCACTCCTTTGAAGAATAAAACCCCCTTTTTAAATCCCTGGATAAACATGCAGAATGGAACGGACCACATTAAAAGCAACGGGGCAAAATGAAAATGTTCTGAAATGGGGTTTGGCAGACAAGATGTGAGCATGACGTACAGAGACGGGAAGTGATTATGAACCACACAACAGCTGGTTTAGACGATTAACTTTAGTATGAGTGTGAAATGGTGGTGTAAAATCAAAGCTAGCAATTTTACAAAGTGATCGCATGCCAGCCAACCTTACCTTTAGGGTGGCATCAGCACAAACAGTCATTTAATTAATTATAACCTCCTCTAGTCTAATGCCAGGAAGATCATGGCAGATTTCTGGACTAGGGAAGGTCTACAGAGATACATCCTCCTTTATCAGACTGATTTACACAAATTAAAGTACACGCACGGCCCGGATTTTAAAGGGCTAGCTCGTACTCATAAATTTAGCTATGCGAAAGAGCCATGGGGCCAAACCACAGCTGAGGATGAGAAGGGAATCCATAAATCTTCACCTGCGGTGTTGGAAAGACTGGGAAACATATGGGCTTGAAACTTTTGCGATCAGTATGAACTACATCAAAGGATGCATGGGGCATTTCATGCCATTAACAACCAGTACATCTGATATTAACATGCAAATGGTGATGGATACATTACTGTTTAAAAGAAAACAAACAAACAAACGAACGAAGAAATAAAACATGGTGACAAATCAAAACGCAGTGGCCGACATGGGAAAAAACAAACAAAACAAGACACGCCCCCTGATTGGCTGTACATACCGATACGATTTCAACACTCTGAAGCCACACGCACGCCAAAGAGAGAGAGCAAGCTCATGTTGTAAAAGTTGCAGTTCAAGAAGGACAGATTGTTCTTTTTTTTGCGTTCTCAAACAGACAAAACAGATGTTACAAAGCTCTGCATCTTAACAGCCCCCGTTTAAAAGAGACACGGTGGGCAGTCCAGGGCTTGGCTGGCTCTAGGTGCAGGAGGAGGAGGAGGATACGTGACAAGGAAAGATCAGGTCTACATGCAGAGTGAAGTGAAGCTTGTCGAAGGACAGATTGTTCTTTTTTTTGCGTTCTCAAACAGACAAAACAGATGTTACAAAGCTCTGCATCTTAACAGCCCCCGTTTAAAAGAGACACGGTGGGCAGTCCAGGGCTTGGCTGGCTCTAGGTGCAGGAGGAGGAGGATACGTGACAAGGAAAGATCAGGTCTACATGCAGAGTGAAGTGAAGCTTGTGTCTCAAAGGGGGAGAAGAGGAAGTGATGCGAGGCACTGTGTGTGAAACCTGCAGGACTCACCTCTTGAAAACAGCAGTTTCAGTTTTGGCGTCTACAGTAAGGCTGACCGTCTCCTTCATAGAGCCGTTGGTGACCGTTTCTGTGATGCGGTCACTGACAGGCTCTTCCTCGGGGTCCGAGCCGTCTCCAACCTTTCCTCTTGGGGAAGTCGGCGTGGTCTCATTGGGAAGCCACTGATCTGTGTCTAAAAAATTAGATTGTTCTATTCTAACCACTGTGTTGACACATGAGGACAAGAGGAATGGTAAAAGAGTCTATTCTTACTTTCTTGCTGCATGGGCGCGTTGACTCCCAGAGGGTCCACCGTTTCTATGCTGGTCTCCATGGCTACCGGGGAATTGCTCCTCAAAGGATCCTTGGGGCTAAATAAAGGAGAAAAATTTAAATCTAATGAATTTTCCACATTTACATGTTCAGTGCTGCATTTTGTACATCACTAGTGCAGGTTGCTGGCCCTTTCTATAATCAATAAACATGCATGACAATGTAGATATTAAAGGGCACCTACTATGCAAAATCCACTTTTACATGGTGTTTGGACATAAATGTGTGTTGGCAGTGTGTGAACACAACCACCCTACAATGATAAAAATCCACCCACTAATCTAATGAATTTTCCACATTTACATGTTCAGTGCTGCATTTTGTACATCACTAGTGCAGGTTGCTGGCCCTTTCTATAATCAATAAACATGCATGACTTAATGTAGATATTAAAGGGCACCTACTATGCAAAATCCACTTTTACATGGTGTTTGGACATAAATGTGTGTTGGCAGTGTGTGAACACAACCACCCTACAATGATAAAAATCCACCCACTCCTCATTTTTTAATTCCCTTTAAACCAAGTCAGTCTCACTAGGCCAGTCCTCCATTTTCTCCGCGTTCGAGCAGCTGTCAACGTCAACAATGTCTCGCAAGCAATCCCGATGCTCTGTGTTTGGATGCAAGACTGAACATAAGAGTCTTCCTTTTCTCCCAACATCTGAGCTGCTGAGGACGCTGTGGATTACTTTCATTTTTCAAGGTAATGCGCCTCAAAATCTACCTAAATATGTGTATCACTCCAGACTCCTTTGTGAATGTCATGTCTTTATAGTGCTTAGCGTTTTAACTGCATTTGTGTACGTACATTAAGTATTTTTAACTGATTAGCGCTGCGCTTGTGAGATTAGTTTGCGCCGTTTGTAGAGCAAGATTCATTCGGTAGCGCAGCTCAGACCATTAATCCGCGCCGATGACAGGTCAGCGCGACGCAAGCTCTGTAACATCGCGCTGTTTTGTTCCACTTTCAGTGCATTTGGCTTCCTCTCGCTCTGTTATGTTGCTTCTACTGGCTGTTTATTGCTGTAGATATACAATGCAGAGAGACTTATACGCGATGCCCTCTTCTGGAGATGGGGCGGGAATATGCAGCTCATTTGCATTTAAAGCGATACACTCCGAAACACCTCTTTTTTTAGACACCCCAAAAATGACATTTTCCAGCTGTTACAATAAATTATCTGTGGGGTATTTTGGGCTGAAACTTCACAGACACATTCTGGGGACACCCAATATTACATCTTGTAAGAAGGGGCATAATAGGTGCCCTTTAATGTCATTTTTCTGAATCCCCAAATTAATGTCGAAATGATATAAAAGGCGGCATATTTAACTTACATTGTAAAAATATTTCAATTTTTTTCCATCAAATGCAGCCTTGGTGAGCATGAGACACTTTTAAAAAATTTTAAGTAAAAAAAAAAATAAATAAAGTAACTGACCCCAACCAGTGGGGTTTAAGAACACGGTTAACAACTAGCTTTTCTCATTGCAAATAGACGTCACAGAACTCTTTAATTGTATCTCAATCACTCACTAGTATGACTCCCAATGTGTTGAGGGCAATGAGCTCCTGGTTACATCTTGTAAGAAGGGGCATAATAGGTGCCCTTTAATGTCATTTTTCTGAATCCCCAAATTAATGTCGAAATGATATAAAAGGCGGCATATTTAAAAAAATTTGTTACTTTTTACTAAGTACTATGAATGAAGGCAAGTATCGCCAAAACCAATACTGATATCAAATCATCTATTAAACTGACTTTTCTTTTAAATGAGAAAATATAGCTAGTTAACATTACAGTAAAATTTGTGCCATTATTTTTACCTAAAACAATTTGAAATTAAAACAAACCCATTATAATAAACATCACATTTAGCTGTCCCTTTTATAGTTAATGTTAATTTTTAAGCTTTGACAGCCCCAATATATATTTGTGGGAAAAAAATCCGACAATAGCTATACATTTAATTATAGATTTTGTTAAAAAAAATAATAAAAAAAACTTGTGTGTCAGTGTACTTTAAACATGCATTCCATACCTGACAGGTGTGAAGCTGGAGAAGTCAGCCCAACCCGACTCTGCACCTGCGTTTGGAGAGTTCCAGCCCGCCGGTTCAGGCACTGCAGCTGGTGAGGTGGACACAGGTGCGCTGGGAGCCGTGGAGCTGCCCGTGTCCATGGGTATGTCATCAAAATTTGCCGTCCATACCGGTCCTTAACCGAAGCATGATACAGAACAAGGATGTGTGAACTTACTTACTATAGAAATAAATATTACTAGATATGGCAGCTGATCATTTAGATTCTCACCATCCCCAGAGTCCACTTCCATTCTGTCATCAGAGGTGGCATTGGCGGAATCAAACGAGTCTCTCTTCCCATCCTCCTCCTCAGAGTCTGTACTCTCCTCGCTATCTGTACTTCCTGAGCTCCTGCGTAGGAAGAAAGTCATGGAGAATCAACACACCGGCATGATGAAAAATGCTTTAAAAGTCTGTTCCAAGGATTACAATACCTGGTGCGTCTCTGAGCTTCCGGAGCAAAAGTGACGTCCTTCTCATCCCAGATATCTTCCTCATCTGATCCGGCATCTTCGAACTGCTGGATCTTCTCCTTACAGCAGGCCTCAAAGAGCGCCATGTTTGCCTATGAGCATAGCAGGAACAAACTATGAAAACATACCATGAGCTTTTCAATAAAATCAACTAATTATACACATTCATTTGAGCAAATATCTGACATACTTACACTTTCATTTGTATTCAAGGAAAAATTGATGTCTGATATTCTATCAAAAGGAATACTGCAAGATTAGAAAAACAGATTTTAGTATGGTTAAGCCCTTAAGACAATGAGCAGCACCCGTCACCCACAGCATCACTGACTGTCACCATGTACACCACACCAGTCTATTAAAAACATGGATAATCAGAACGGAGACATTTAAGTGATCAGATGTAATCTACACTGTACGATCCATGATTTAACACACACAACCCCCCCAAAACAGGCTTTGTGAGTTTATTGAAAAGCAACAGAACCCTAAAAATCAACCAAAGCCCTAACTTATAATGCTAAACTGTCCCCAACTGATTTGATACCAGCAGAAAAGGCGGCAAATCTGAATGAAGCATCATGCACGATGGGTACTTACTCCCCGACATCCTCCTGATCAGCAAACTCTTCGTCATTGAAGCCAAACTGCTCAATAAAATTGGACGTCATTTGTTGCATCTGATAATCAGAAAAGGCCTGGCAAACCCAGGACCAACGATAATGATATAGTCTTGACACTACAAAAAAGCTTCATTTCAAAACAGCCGATAGCAGTTAAGTGTCTTGCCTCAAAAAGCGCTCAAAGGACTAAAACGATTATAAATGTAGTTTAAACAAGTAGATTTATTAATTTGTATATTTAGCAGTACCATTAACATTAGCATTCAGATATTACAATTGCAGCAGCTTTTGTGAGCTCATCCAGGCACAGACTTACTTGCTGTAGGGAGGAGTCCTGATGAAACCCGCCGTCTTTGAAATCTACCTCATCATCGCTGGATGAGTGTATGTGGTGTGTGTTAACCTGAGAAAGTTTGGGGGAAAAATTAGAAACTTAGTTTTATGTCAAATACACTTTCATGAGCATTGTGAAACAAAAGCAATAGTTTCAGAAGACAGTGAATAAAACCGCGCACTTACTAAGTCTACAGTGTTTTTCTTGTTTATATCTGCTAGCTGTCCTGAAGTAAACGCTTCCCATCGTTCCCCATCCTCCTCTGGAAGCTCTGAAAGTGAGCAAATGTAAGTGGAAATGGCTTTGAAAACAGTCTAAAAATTGTTTTACATGCATTTAAACGAACCTGAGATGAGCTGTTGAATTTGTGCCCCATTGGGGCCCTTGTCGCTGTTGTGGACTATAGAGTTCGCTATTCTGGTCAGGTGACCCATGTAACCTCTCCGCCGCCCACCCTCAGCCCTACGGAAAGATGGAGGATTTAGTAAAGACCTCTCCAGACAAAACCACAGAGTCACAGATGTGTAAACAGGATGGTTCCTCTTCACACGTAAGAGATCAGTTTTAGGAGTTACTCACTGCTCCTTCTCATTTGATCCCCAGGCATCAAGAATTCTTTGTATTAACTGGCACTTCTGAAAGAGCTGCAGGTCAGAATTGAGAAGAACACATTAAACTTTGATGTGTGAAGCAAACGGCTTGTGTTTCAAAGAGCGAGTGAGCGGAAAGGATGATAAACTCACATGTTTGATAAGGATGTTTTCTCTTATGGGCTCTTGGTCGTTTTCTCTGTTGATTTCAGGAGATTCACTTTGGGTTGAAGGCATCGCTAAGATCATCGCCGTACAGATTTCTACTTGTGTGTGTAGGAAATTATTCCATAAGTATTTGAAGTACATGTCCTTTAGACAAAAGAAACAAATTTTAGAACATTTATGGCATTCAAGCACAGATTGTATTATATAAACATCTTTTCTGTCCTAATTCTTTTGACAATAGCTGTAATACAAAAAGTAATGAGCTTATCAAGTTTCAATGTGACTAATTACAAAATGTCTATGTAGTTACTAGTTAGTATAAAGCAAGGCAATGGATTGCATTACTATTCAAAATTTGTGTCAGTGAGATACTAAACTAATAGTTTTATTCAGCAAAGCAGCATTAAATTCATTGAAAATAACAGTAAAGGAATTTATACAAAAAAATTGTTTCAAATAAATGAACAGAATAGAATGAACAGAATAAAGAACATCAGAACCCTGAAAATAAAAATAAAATTGATAAAGAATGTTTCTGAAGGATCATGTGACACTGAAGACTGGAGTAATGGCCACTGAAAATTAAGCTTTGCCATCACAAGAATGAATTACACTTTAAAATATTAAAACAGAAAAGAGTTAGTTTACATTGTAAAAATATTTCAATTTTTTTCCATCAAATGCAGCCTTGGTGAGCATGAGACACTTTTTAAAAATTTTAAGTAAAAAAATAAATAAATAAAGTAACTGACCCCAACCAGTGGGGTTTAAGAACACGGTTAACAACTAGCTTTTCTCATTGCAAATAGACGTCACAGAACTCTTTAATTGCATCTCAATCACTCACTAGTATGACTCCCAATGTGTTGAGGGCAATGAGCTCCTGGTTGATGATATGCGTGTTGGTCTGTAGAAGGCTGGTCACTAGTCGCACCACATTTAGACGAGTATTTCCCACTGGTGGATCCAACACTCCCCATGTGGTATTCAAAACCGTTTTCTAATATAAAAAAAAATAAAAATAAATAAAGATAAATTAAACTGCAAAGATGAGTCTGGATGTTGATTTGACTCTAAAAACAACTAAACAGCATATAACAACTATAAACATATATGGCTGTGTGGGCAAGACATGCAGCTCTTTAAAAGGACAAGATTCTGCCAGGTTATATTTGTACAGGCACAATGTGGTGTTGTTGTCCAAAGCTTAATGTAATTAGGAATTTGGAGATTACGGTCTAAATAAGGTCAGCTGATATAAAGCCACAAAAATATTAAAATTAAACATTTAAAAATGTATTCTATTTTTTTATATATATATATAAAATTTATATTTTTTTATCAAATTGACTTTAATACGTCAATGCAAAAAAAGAGAATAAATTACAAATAAATATGCTTCAATGGCTTGTTTTCCCTTTTTTTCCCTCCGACTTTGAAAAATTTAATTTAAATAAAATAAAACAAATTAAGTTGTTTCTCTTATAACATTGATATATTGGGCGTCACTTACATCCTCATCTTGTGATGGTTGTACCATATCAACCAGCCGCTGTATAACTTTCTCTTCATTTAGCCACTGAAAGAGAGGAGATGAAGAGGAAACTGTGAGGTGGTATTAACGATGACAGTGAGTAGATTAAATGACTAATCTGTGTTGAATTTCCTGCTGTATTCAAATGAAAACATCCATATCTACAAAACTAAAAATCGTGCATGCACAAAGCCAAACCGATTTTTACCCCAACAAAATAGAGATGCAACATCATGAAAACCTTTCTTGTAGGTATGAAAACTCACATTTAATACATCTTGTCTAAGCTGCTGTGGCTCGATGCAGGTGAGCATCCTGAGCAGGAGGTCCATAATAGCCGAGGTCCCTATGTGTTTGATCATCAGATCCACAAAGTCTTCCCTCTTCCTGAGGAACTCCACGATCTAGATGCAAGACAGGAGATTTAGTTCACTTGTACGCATCCATATGAACAATCCAGTATGTCTGATGACGTACCTGCTCTGGTTTCCTCCCAATGAGGATGCTCAGGACCTTGCTGAAGAAACTGGCTAGCAGCGGATTGAGGGGAGGTTCGTTCTGTAGGAAGCTGTAGAGTTTCATCAGTAAACTTTCATCTTCACCCAGCCTGTCATTGATCTGGCTAACATCTGAGGTCAGGAGTTCACAGGATATGTTGGGATACCTTTACATAAAAAAAAGAAACGGTCATGAGGAAGCTTAGCACAGCAATATTTTTTTAGAACAAATGTTTTTGAGCAAGCATCAAACATGTTATTCTCACTTGTATTTGATCTTCTCCTCCACATCGTCATTGGGCTCCTGAGTGATGTAGCCCACGAGATCCTCCATGCACTGTGGCCTCACCAGGAAGTCCACAAGCTTGTGGTTTTGAGCCTTGCACTCCTGTAAGACATCCTCTTCGTCCATCACCTCAGTCAGCGTAACGTCTTCCTTCTCCAGGAGCGTGTCAATGTGGGACGTCGTGTGCAGATCAAACTTCCAAAACATGGTGCTGCTGAAGAAAAATAACGTTTTTGGTGAGTTTTGCTTTATCATTATGACTGAAGATGTTACATTTGAAATGTGACTATGAAAAAGCTTACCTGAGTGAAGCAGAGACCAGAGGGTAAAAACTCTGATTAAAAATAAAATAATGCTTGTGCTCTTTGGGACTTCTGTCCCATTACAGGCACCACAGGCGGTAGAAACTGGACAGACCCTTAAATAAAGGACATATGCAGCAGAAATGTCTTCTGCCACAGCAAAAACGCTCAACACACACCTGCAACCGAGAACAAACAGGAAAAAGAGGGTTATACATAACATAAAGCATTTGTATATATATATATAAAAAAAATTTTTTTTTAAATCAAATGTATCTCTCAAAGATTAGTCACTTCTATAAACAGACCTACCCCATTCTGATGATTACTCTCACATATGGTCAATACTAGCCACAACATTAAAAATAAAATACATATTACAAAACATGCTGCTAACAATAACAAGAGACCTTTTCCAGTTTGCCAGGATCTCAAACAGACATTAAACAAACAAACTTCCAAATGTGGAATTCATTCTAATTCTATAAATAGAGCCTGATTTAATACAGAAACAATGCACCAGTTTACAGTGACAAAACAAGCGGTAGTTTGAACGTTTAAAGAAAACCAAGAAAACCAAACAAGTTCCTTGTTGTGATGTTGACAACCTAGCAACACAACAAATACAGTTGCACTCTCACCAGACTACCTCCTCTGATTGGTCGGTAACAATTATTAACTCATTCCACACATGATTGTGGTTTTGAGTTAGTAATTGTGGTTTCATTTTCTTTGTGTGTTCTTCTTACAAGGAAAGTGTACATAATTTCTAACATAAGATGGTTATGACGGGTTAAATCCAAATGTCCATTTGACAGCTCTGCCATCAAATTGCTATAATTGGAGATAATAAATGCATTATTAAGGGTAGCCGAGAGACTATTTTTCCAGTCTAAACGGTGGATGGATGCACACCACAGAGGTGAAAGGTTACCAAGCTGGCAAGCAGCCATCTTGACTTTCATGAATGGCTAAGAGGAAGGAAAGCTTATTAATAGACTAAGGGGGTTGGGCTAGGCTCACCCGAAAGAGCTTTGGCATCGGCCTACTTCCACTCTCTAGCAAACATGCTTTTCGCCAATTTACAGAATTTTAAAAACATTGACAAACAACCCAAAATTCATCCTAAAAGAGCTCTTGCTGTAAAAGTTCTGGTGCTATAAACATCAGATTTAAAACAACAAGCGTTAAAATATGAAACTGCACAATGACATTAACTTGAAGTTTGATATAGATACAATGTTGATCTTTCAATTCAAAAGACTGTGGTCAAATTACTAAACAGAACTTCTTAAAATCTGTATTAACCTCCATTGAACATAAGATACAAGCATGAATTATCACTGCTATTGCAGAAATAAAGTATCCATTAGTGAAACAGTTTGGGGGATGGGGGGGGGAGGGTTGTACTCACACAGGCTATGAACTGTCATTTTTAATTAATGATAATACTGATACAAGGTATTTAAACATAAAAATAATAATCTTAACACAAAAATCAGGGTCACTATTTTACACATTAAATTGATCAAAGTGACAGTAAAGAGTGTTAATTTTTTTCTATACTTCTATTTCTGTATATAGTACATTATTTAAACATTTTTTAAATTATATTAGTGTTATATTACATCCCTACTGTGTTATTCCTATGCATGTCTGCACTATCATGCATGTCTGCACTATGTTTGGCTCACCCGAAAGAGCTTTGGCATCGGTCTACTTCCACTCTCTAGCAAACATGCTTTTCGCCAATTTACAGAATTTTAAAAACATTGACAAACAACCCAAAATTCATCCTAAAAGAGCTCTTGCTGTAGTTGAACATAAGATACAAGCATGAATTATCACTGCTATTGCAGAAATAAAGTATCCATTAGTGAAACAGTTTGGGGGATGGGGGGGGGAGGGTTGTACTCACACAGGCTATGAACTGTCATTTTTAATTAATGATAATACTGATACAAGGTATTTAAACAAAAATAATAATCTTAACACAAAAATCAGGGTCACTATTTTACACATTAAATTGATCAAAAGTGACAGTAAAGAGTGTTAATTTTTTTCTATACTTCTATTTCTGTATATAGTACATTATTTAAACTAAAAATAATAATCTTAACACAAAAATCAGGGTCACTATTTTACACATTAAATTGATCAAAGTGACAGTAAAGAGTGTTAATTTTTTTCTATACTTCTATTTCTGTATATAGTACATTATTTAAACATTTTTTAAATTATATTAGTGTTATATTACATCCCTACTGTGTTATTCCTATGCATGTCTGCACTATGTTTGTACTTTCTTCTACACTGGAAGCTCCTGTTGTCAAGTCAAATTCCTTGTGTGTGTAAACATACTTGGTAAGATAACCCTTCCGATTCTAATTCTGAATAAAAATTGTTACACACATGCATGAATATACACAGATCTTTTAAACTTGGAGGGGGGGGGAGAAAACAAAAAAACAGTATTACTTTTTTTACTGAATTGATCAAATAAAAATGCAGCCTTTGTGAGCATAAGGGGATTCTTTCAAAAAAATGTCAAAAGACTCAAATCTTTTGAACAGTGGTAGTGCATGTCTAAATTGCAGAAAAATGTCAAACTATAAAAATAATGGAAAACTAAAAGTGATGGATCTGCAGCACATCCTCTGATTCTGAACTCACTAGTCATCAGTGACGGTTGCATAGCGCATTGAGTTTTAAATTAACATGTAGCGGTGAACCAAAAAGGACATCTGTAATTATATGCATGCATTAAACAACATGAACATCGCAGGTTATATTTTGTAGCTGAGACCACCTGATTAATCAAGACTGTGCATAACACTGACGTATAAAAGACATTACAGAAACATGGCGGGGCTCCAGACTAACATTTGAGAGCAGTGGCACCAGCGTTCTACAGATGGTGGCGCCAGGAGCAGATTTGGTAGCGCTGGGGGTGGTGTGCGAGAGTATTAAAATATAGATCATTATAAATTACTATTGTTTTGCATTAATAAGTGCAGTTACTAATAATATTACGTTCATTTCTTGTTTATTTATTTTTTGTTTATTGTTTATACAGATTTGACAATAAAGCACTAAGCTTGCGTTAAGATGCATGCAAAATTTACTTTTATTAACAACAGTAACAGGTGCAAAATCTAACTTTTATATAGAAAAATTATATATTCCACTCTTATTAAATGTACCATTATTCCTCTAGTATATGGAACTGACCAACTTCAGTGATTATGTGATTTAGTAGCAAATTGAAGAAAAGTTTGTTTTTCAAGGCACTGTGACTTTTCTTACTTCATACACAAAACAAAGTGTACAATTCTGACAAAATCTGATTTCTTGATTTGATATTTTATAATAGTGATTTTATCATTTCAAAATATAGAGAAAAAGTATAAATTAATGACTAATAAGCCAATAAGTGCTCCTCTGCTGCTGTCTACTGGTTATAATTGTGATTTGATGTATTTTTTTTAATTTTACATAAGTGTTTGTTTACCACAAAGTATATGTTGGTCATACCATTAAAAATTTAATTTAAACTGGATCATTTTAGAGCATTAAAGTGCTGGAAATAGTTGTGTGAAATGCTTGAAAGTCATTGAAAAGTGCTTGAATTTCTCTCTCAAAAAGGTAGTACAAACCCTGAAATGAATGATATGCATTCGACCATTTCTATCGCAACACCACGGTTACAGTTAGCGTTACCGCTTCTGGTTTCCTGACGTATGTCAGCGCTGTTTAAAACAGAGAATTCTGTGCAGAATTTGAATGATTCTCACTAGATCTTGCAGCAATCATTGTGCGGCGAATTCAAACGCTTCTCACTGGAAATCAACTTTGTATCAAGAGTAAAGCTGCTCTAAGCTCGGACAAGTTTGTTTGCGTCGCGGTCCGAGCTGCGCAGCTGAAACGTAGCACGGTTTAGTTTAGTTGGTCAGTCTGGAACCCTGCATGGCATACTTTTGGCAAATAAACCTCTGTGATTGGATAAGGATTTTCAAAAAAAGAAAAAAAAAAGCATGCATTACTTTTTCATCTTTAAAGTCAAGAAATTTCACGTGCAGTGAAATTTGACTGGTGCTAAAGGCTCGATTCAATGTTCCATGTCAACATAACTTGGTTGTGAAGTACATCTTGACACTTGCACTGAATGTCAACCATTTATAACACCTTATACCACAACTAAACTTCGATTTACTGGTTTCTTCCTTCCTCGCATAGCTTTTCCTGACATTTACATTCAGTCCAAATCTTTCCAGGTTCACGTTGGCAACTTTATCTAGTGTAAAAGGTCAAAGAACACCACACAACACTAGATCACCTGTACCATTCAGCTTGAGTAACTCTGAGCCGAAGAAAATCCTCGTGACTCCCTCTCAGGGGCAATAAAAAGTGTTGCCAAACCTCTCCAGCATCCCAGAGGCCACAAAAACAATGCTGCCGCCGCCACCACCACAAGTCCTCCAGTTGCACTCAGAATCGTGTCTGCAAAGATGATCTGCCTGAATGGACCATAAAAATGCGCTGCCATGTCAAACCAACTAGACTGTTTACAAGAGTGAGCGATCTGCTCATGCTAACAGTCTTCTAGGAGCTTTCACATGCAATCACATCACACAAAACTAGAAATAAACAGCCGGGTGTTTATATGGATGTGCCAAAATAAAGGCAAATACAGAGATCTGTGATCAGTACGTTACATGCTGTAAACAGCTCTACAGAGATTGAGGACTGTTTTCAAAATGTATACTGAAATTACACATTATATTAGAAAAATCAAACCTAAACTTCGATGATCCTTATAGAACACATTAATAACAATTTCATATGACAGCAGTCCTGGTTTCAAAACATAATCTTAAAAACAGAATTAACATTTCCAGACGGGTTTTCTGTTGGTGTTTTAGGCTGTCTCAATCCCCAGTGAACTACCTACCTAGACAGCATTTTGGAGCGCCACAAGCGCGTTTGAACATTCCAATACAACCTTCATATGCTCTTACATTGGTCAAAAACGTTGTCTATGTGTACAACTCACTAGGTTTTGCCTTTGTGTCTCACTTTCTGAAGTTCTTCGGCATGTCGGGCCCCGGCATTAGCCCACACTGAGCTTCCGCCGGAACAATATTACAGATTTGACACTTTCTTAAGAGTCTAGGTTTGTTTAAATACGTAGCAGTCCCGCTAAATGTGAGAAAACATCTGTTAAGTGAGAGAAAAGGCTGGAAATGTATGCTGTTCTGACTCGGCAAAACAGAGAAGTGGTAACTGGCAAACGCTAAGCTAACGGAGACACACACAACACAAATACGTACCGATTAAGAAAGCGGAATCCTGCCAAAGTCCGGCATGAAGACTGGCGAACCTTTACATAAAACGGTCACCGGAATAAAAACGAAAAATGGGGCGAGGTATGATAGAATGAGGTGTTTATAACAGATTGTGACAGGCGCGAAAAGAGAGACCATCAGAGTTCACTTTTCAAGATGGCGGCATTATCAACTTCAACAACCCCAACCCCCACCTGAGGTAGAGGAGTTGTCAATCAAACCCCACTGCTGCGCGCTGATTGGCTACAGTGGGTGTGAATTATAGCTGGTCGTGTTTGTTAATCTCGGACTGTGTGGGGTAAATCTTTGATTTATAAACGCCACGAAAACAGAGATGATCTTTACAAACGTATGCTCTTTGTCGGAATTAAAGAAATGACACAATTATACATTTTATAAGCAATATTTAAGTGAAACTGAATCATCAGACACAACCACAGCAGCTAAAGCCAATAGAATTTAGTTGGATTAAAAATCCCTCGTCTGATTGGATCGCGAGAATGTCAATCAAGTACCGAATTCAAAACGCACATATTGCTTTATCTTACCTTCTTTGTGAGAGCCTGTCCCTTGAACGGATTCCTTACATTTCAACATATCCAAAACATAAAGACAATGCGGTTATGGTTTCTTCACAATGTTGCACAAAGCAGCCCGGTCAGAGTCGCTTTCAGAATGGCCTTAACTGGCTCGTTATTTGCAACGCCCTAGCAACAATAAGACGTCACGGTGATTGACATTCCGGTGGTCCAATCAGCTTCGAGTACATGAACCACATATTACTGAATGGAGCATCCAGTTCGCCTCAAGAAAGGCTTTATTTCAACATGAGCTCGATTACATAAAACAGGAGTTTAATTTACATCAAGCTATATCATATAAAATAAGCGTGTTTAAAGGCTATATATATATGTATATGTATGTATATATGTGGATAGTTGACAGAAATCCTAACTTATATATATATATTTTATATATACTTATTTCAAATGGCAAACCAACATGAAATTGATGAGGCCTACATAAAACAGTAGTTTAATTTATATATGGATTATAGACATATAATATTAAATATGCATGTTTTTAAAGGTAAAACAGCTGAAAATCAGCCAGTTTGTCTAAATGTGGCACATTTAGCATGTTATATAATTATTTATTGGTGAGTTATCTCTTTAGGAGAACCTTTCTATAGCATTTATATGTGTTTAAGTGTTTCTTGCGCTCATTGATAAAATATGGGTCAAGAGGTCCGGGGCGCATCTCTGTGCAGACAGGCAATTACTGGTTTAGTGTAGCATGCCAAATAGGATCTGACGTGTGACCCTTGTGTTAAATGTGATGCATAAATCTACAGCGTCAGGCAGTGGAACTGATCTGTTACAGCTGATGACGGCTGTATTTCAGACATGCGAGATCTATTCTGTGCTGCATGTTCCATAAACATAACAAAATCTGCAGTGGATTCATTGTATAGAGCAAAAGCAGCCAGATGTATTTTTTCTCATATGGGTCAAATTAACCCTATGATTCCACTGTGTTTCGGATTACAGACTGCCATGTGGGTTTCTATGACAAAAACCATGATTTTACTAAAAAAAAAATCAAACATGCATATGATTGTCGAACAAAATCCTGCCTCTACTAATCAAAGATCATGTCATGAAAAGTGTGTAAACTAAATGTTGTGGGCTTCTGGGGTCGTGCGAAAGATGTTTCTCATGTCATCTTTCATCAACCTTTTTGCATTTTATTAGACATCATTTATTATGTTTATTAACTGGTCCCCACAATTTCCAGGGTTTATCGTCTTTATAGGAACCTTTGGTCCCCCGCAATTGAGGCCAAACGTGGCCCAACACACTTTTTTTTTTTTTGGAACATATAATCAGAAGATCCAGGATGCTGACGTGCTTTCCCTCCTGACATGTGTTCTCACGTGCCTTTTTTCCAAGCCGTGTTTTTAGCTCCTCTACTACACGGCTCATAAACAAAGACAGACAGATGGTTACATGGAGGGGTGTCGACATCATCTCCCCTCCCCCTCAGCCCAATCAGGAGCCTCACAACATGTGTTCACTTCTGTCAAGCGCTGAAGACAGGCCTTTGAGATGAAAAGGAGAAAGGAGAATGTACATTTAGTTCCCAACTGCTGTGTACAAGCTTTGGGCCCTGGGCCTCTGTGAAGTGACATTTGTGATACATTCATAAAATGATGGATACATTATGAAGTTATTTTTCAGAGTACTACTCACTGATGTCATTTATTTGAAACATAGTTTGTTCTGCAGAGAGCATAATCCAATTTTTTAATAAATGCATGCAAAACTCTTATTTATGCAAGTAATTACCTGCATAAATTACCCGAGTGAATTTTTAGCCCCAAAATAAATAAATGTAAATGTGAAATGGGAAAAATAATTAAATGATTTACATGAGTATTTATGAATAAGTGGCCTGTTTTTGTACTGAATTAAAATATTTCTGTATAGCAATAATGAGAAATCGTAAAATGTTAAAAATAGGCTTATATACTGTATATATTTCTTTATGTTATTTATGTCTAAATTAATAAAACCTTTTTGTTTTATTTAAATCTATTTTACTTTATTCTATTTGTTGTGTTTGTATTTGTCTCTATATAAAATTATTATTATTATTATTGTTGTTGTTGTTAGTTAGTATTTTGACATATTTATTTTATATTATTAATAATTAATTAAAATATATTTAAAAGAAAATATGAAGTACACACACACACACACACAAACATTTCTCATTACTGTTATACACAAATATTATATGTGCATGACAGTAATTAGAAATAAATGAAACATATTTTTTATTAAATTAATTAAAATCTATCTAATGTATATATATATATATATATACACACATACATATATAATGAATATATAATGTGTGTGTGTATATATATATATATATATATATAATTTATGAATTAAATTAATTTCAATTTAAGTGTCATTTATTTATTTTAATATATTATTTTGGGGTGAAAAATGACACTAAGATTGAATACTCAGGAATAAGGTGTAATTATGAGTGGTCATGAGGGCCATCCAAACCTCTTTTATAACATATTTTTGCTTCAGTTTTTTCCACATGAGGGCAGCAGAAGACAAAACTCCTGAAATCCCGATCGGACTCCTAATCAAACGCATTTATTTTATTACCCTAGCATGCAATTCCACCACAGCAATGTCACATTCAACAATAACATTTCATAACGCTCTGTTTAGAGTGATCCAAAGTGTTTCTGCATTCTTGCTCATGTTTGTTGGGTTACCACTGGACTGAGACGCACCTTGCTCAATTCAATTAACAATAGCTTTATTGAAGCCTAGGGCTCCTCGTTCACTGTAAGTATGGGATTGGCAATAACACTTGCCTTCAACAAACCAGGAATCCTTAAATAGAAAGTTATATGCCTAAATATAAGAATAACGACAAGCACCATAATGTTAAAAGACGACAATAATATTACATTTCTTAAAATAGAACCTTTATTATATATAAAAATGCTTTTGATACAAAAATTGTCACAAGTGTGCATTATATGAGGCATTTTTGTACACAAAACAAAGACATTGGTGGTGCACCAAAAAGCTCCTCGGTGTGAGTGGATGGGACGATCCAGACAGATTCAGTCTGCCAAAGTGGTATAAAAATCCAAATAAACTCCATTGTCACATTCACAATGAACAGTATGTTACCTTGAACACATATGTTTGCTTGAAACATAACCTGCATCATCTGCTAAACTGGTCTTTGTTGAGTTTTCTACAATGGCTATTTTATTTCATCTAATTTGCGCCTTTAAAGACACTGTTTTAGGTCTTTTCGCATGGCTGACTGTAAAAACACAACTAATGTAATCAGAGGAAAACTCATTTTGTATCTTCTTCCACATCTATAATTCTACATGCACGTCTAATTTCCGTAAGTGCTCAATTTGGCAAGAAGAACAAATATTTCAAGATGGTTTTGATCAAACAGACATAAAATGTGTGCTACAAAACCCGACAAAACAAATCTACTCTTTTGAAATAACATTTTAAAGAGGAAAATAGTTTGATTCTTCAACTTTACCAAAAATGGGGGGAAATAAATCTGAATTTCAATTTCAAAACACACTTTTCTAATTGTTACCACATTATCATGGTAAGATTAACCACATATCCTTGTTCAAATCATAGCTTAGTTTTACTGTATTATTACTATAATTATTATTTTAGTTTTTTTACAAAACACCTACAATGAGTTCAGTTCATGAGATGTGATCGGTGGAGGGCGAGGGTGGGCAGCTCTCCTCCGCTGACATGTACTGGCTGCGTGGGGTGGGGGGTGGAGGGTAGGGGTCAGAGTCTGAATTGAGGTCCATGTAGTACTTGTTGCTTTTCCAGCGGCTGGTGGTGTAGTCGCTGTCACACACGTCTGTGCTGCAGGGGGTGGTGGGGGGCGCGACCCCTCGATTCATATACGGTCTGTGGAGGGCAAACGTTTAGAGATCAGGAACTTGAGCTTGAGATATTTGACCTGTCTACCCATCTGTAACCCTATTACCTATGCAATTATTCAACTATTCATTCATAAATCAGCATAGATATCTTAACATATTTGAGCTATCTACCTACATTCCCACCTACCAGCATACCTACCCTACCACTCCAAATATTTGAGCTATCCACCCACCTACCAGCATATCTACCCTATCATTCCAGATATTTGAGCTACCTACCTACAGAACCCATCTACCTAATTACCAGCATATTAACCCTACCACATCAGATATTTGAGCTATCTACCCACCTCTCAGCATATCAACCCGACCATATCTACCTTCCCATCTATCAGCATATCTACCCTACCATACTAGAAATGTGAGCTATCTGTCTAACTACAGGTGTTGAAGCAAAAAAAACAGCCAAACCCCATTCCACAGCCATACTTGTCACACACCCAGTTTTTTCTTCTTGTAATTAGGAGCGCTTGTCCTCCTAATTTAAAAAAATAGAAGCACTTTTTTTTTTTTTTACGTTTAATGAGGCTGTGGGGGCAATTAAATTCATGGGGAGGTTAATGTTTTAAATATACAATTTTAAATACAGAAATATTAAATGATTTAAATAACTGAAATTATATGCTAAAAATTAACTGAATGAAATACTTTATGAATGGGTAATCATCAATCACTGACTCACTAGAATTGTTCAAAAACTACCTTTCGTTCATGAATGAAACACCGCTGTGTTTGCTTTTAAAGATGCGCAGCGGCTCAGCTGTTACTTGATTTGGAACTATTTTCGTTGATGAAATGGTACAAAATCAGGCAGTACTTGTTTACTGAACTGTTGTATTAAATTAATATCACATTTGCAAACTCCCTTAACAATTATTAAAAGCTGTCACTCTCCTTATCACGATCTGTGGGCACACAGAAAATGAGAGCGCATGAGTTCTCAAGACTCAAAAGCACGTGCAAATGATACGTTCCATCATCTGCCATCGCGTTATAAGCGCGAAACCTGCGGGAATGAGTAGAATTGTTATTAATAGCTGCAATCCCGCACCGAAATTCAAGTTCTGCTCTATGTTCTCTGCTAATAACCCGCCTGTGAATGATGCAAGCGGCGTCACTATGTTGTCACTGAGAAGCTGCAGCCGTGGCGGGGATGACTTTTGGTGTGCCGGCAGAACAACAACAACGCGCTACATGTTTCTTTTCCCTCATTCTTTCCAATTGACGAAAATCCGTCATAGCGACGGAAAACTTTAATCCCTGTAACGATCTACCTATCTATCAGCATTTCTACCCTACCATACAAGATATTTTAACTGTCTAACTAACTATCAGTATATTTACCCAACCACAGTAAATCTATCTATCTATCTTTCTATCCATCCATCCATCCATCCATGCATCCATCTACCATATATTTGAGCTATCTACCTGAAAGCACATAAAAATATCTACCAAACCATACCAGATATTTGAACTATCTACCTATCTATCTACCCACCTTCCCACCCATTAACATATCTACCCTACCATTTCAAAAATGAGCGGTCTACCTTCGTATGTACCTATCTACCTACCTATCAGCAAATCTACCCTACCATAACAGATATTTCATCCATCCATCCAGGATCTCTGGATTAAAACACACCTGTAAGACCTGGTTGTTGATGGGCTGTTGGATGAATAAAAGACTTCTGCGTTGTAGAGCGAGCGATCTGTCGCTGGTGATGGAGGAGGGTTGAGCATCTATACACAGAAAAGCAAAAAATAAGTTATATGGCATAAACCACAACAAAACAGACAAGATCAAATATATGAAGTAAACTTAAAATACAAAAATATTTTTTTTCTATATGGAATTAAACAATAACAATAAACTAATGAATAGCACAGTACCTGAGGGTAAAAAGCTCCTTTGGTGCTGGAAGAGCTACTGGATGATGCTCCCGTCACATGGTTCCTGTCGTAGAGAGGTGCCCCACTGCTGCTGCTGCCCATGAGACTCACTGAACTCATCATGGACTTCCCACAGGAAATACCTGCGACACAGCGAGACAGACTCATCACACACAAAAGACTCATCACAGGCAGAGACATTATTCACCTTAGGAGACTGCAGCAGCTATCAAACAGCAGATTTTTACCTGTAAAAGTACCGTGCTGTGAATTTGTGGGTGCAATGAAGTTGAGGGGCACGTGAGGGGTCCCACTGATGTACTCGTGTGGGAAGCCTCCATTGGGGCCCTTGTAATGGCGACACACGACTCTCTGACACACAAAACACATGCCTCCCATCACAAAGACAGAGAGGATGATGCCGATGACGGGGCCGATGGTGCTGGTGTGACGCGGAATGTCATTGGGGGGCGAAGGGAAATCTGTGAAGCAACCAAACAGGGATAAATAAGTATCACAATTCAAGTTATTGCATGCACGTTCAAACACCTCATGCTTTTTTCAGTATGGTAAACGTACCGCAGAAAAGCTCGTCAGATTTGTCTGCGCAGTCTGCGAAGGAGTCACACTGCTGTTTCTTCAGAATACACTGGTTGTTGCCACATCGGAACTGATTAGGCATGCAAATGGCTAATGGGAAAAATGCGAGAGGATAGATCAGTGACTGACAACAATTAGCTTATAAAAATCTAAATGAAGCAGCATAAATTTATGAATGCAACAAGTTATGGATGTGTATCTGTAACTATACGCTGTCATATGAACACCAGTCAGTGATTTAAGATTAACGTTTTTCAAACGATACACAACACTACAATGGTTTCCAGCTCACTTCAAGTTGCACATAATAAACTGCGATTAATTATTAAATGAAATAAGTGAATCATTTGAGCCAATTCAGTGAGTTGTCTGACTGATTCAGTAAATAATTCAGAATCATTTTTACTGATTCATACGAAAAAACTATTGATTTATTTGCACAAGTTTGTTTTGAGGACAGCAAATTGACTATGTAATATTTTGTGCCACCCAGTATTTCTCTCTTATTCGCAGTGTTTTGAATACAAGTGCACTCACTTATTTTTTTCACATTTTTGTCCTTTCAAGTATTTTTAACTACACGCTATTGTACAAATCTAATAATGCATTATCGGTTCACAGAAAGGAGGAGAAGACAGCATTTCCCCACATTTGGAATGAAGAACATTACAAAAAATGGTCAATTACACTTCAGTTGCCTGCCAAAATAATGGCGTAAGAGACTAAAAATGCTGTGTGAAAGTCAAAAAAGTACTGCTCTTTCTGTTGGCAGCAACACATGGGCAAATCATGACTTAATTTGGAGACAGATATTGTAAGTTTATAGCATTTGCACATCCTGTTGAAAAAGAGAGCTGCTTGTCTGGCTTGTCACGCTCATAACCTCAAGATTGTGTGTGTGTTTACAGAATCAGTCACAGGTGGAAATTCTAGTAAATCAGCTGGTTTAAACTGCATAACAGTTGGACGTACTATCGCAATCCTGTTCATCAGAGCCGTCCGCGCAGTCGGGCTCTCCGTTGCAGCGCAGCTGAGAGTCCACGCATTGGCCTTTATCGCACTGAAACTGGAGTTCGGAGCAGATGGGACAGTTCATCTCGTCGCTGTGGTCTGCGCACTCTGCGATGCCGTCACAGCGCCATGCCATGGGGATGCAGTCGATCTCGCCAGTAGCGCAGGTGAACTGCTCGCTAGAGCAGGTGGGAGGCTCTGAGGGGGGGTCGTGGGTAAATATGTGATCAGCACACATGCATGAAAACCAATAGGTGCGTTTTTGATTTCATGCCACACATGTGTGTGTGTATATATGTAAAAATGTACCTCCACAACTGAGCAGATTTTGAAGCAGCACCAGGTGCATGGGACACGAGCAGCGTGGTGTCCCATCACCCTTAGCAATGCAGATGTGGGAGCAACCTCCGTTGTCACAGGAACAAGGGTGGGATGCTGTTAGGAAGATTAAAGGACAATTATACTCTTTAATCACAGGAATTCTGAGGCCACATGGTCTTTAACTATGTAAACCGATTTTGACAACATGTGATTTTTGCAACTCAAACAAGGTTATATGCTGGTTTAAAACACTCAACTACCAGTGTAAATTCGTTTAGATGTTTTTGACTAGTCTGGCAATTCATTTAGGTAGTTAACAAAGAAGAAACTGGGCTCTTTTTACAGGTTTTAAGACAAGCAAGCAAAATATTTTGCAAACAAGATTATATATAATGTTAACTGAAATATAATGTGATTAAATACAATTTAGGATATAATATTTTAACTTTAATAATAAACACTTATTTAAAAAACGTTAATATGATATAATCATATATTTGTTTTTATTAGTGCTGGGCAACGATTAATCGCATCCAAAATAAAAGTTTTTGTGTACATAATACAGGTGCATCTCAATAAATTATAATGTCATGGAAAAGTTCATTTATTTCAGTAATTCAACTCAAATTGTGAAACTCGTGTATTAAATAAATTCAATCTTGGTAAACGGGTGCAGTGACGTTGCTTTTCAAAAAACACATTGGACCAACACCAGCAGATGATATTGCACCCCAAATCATCACAGACTGTGGAAACTTAACACTGGACTTCAAGCAACTTGGGCTATGAGCTTCTCCACCCTTCCTCCAGACTCTAGGACCTTGGTTTCCAAATGAAATACAAAACTTGCTCTCATCTGAAAAGAGGACTTTGGACCACTGGGCAACAGTCCAGTTCTTCTTCTCCTTAGCCCAGGTAAGACACCTCTGACATTGTCTGTGGTTCAGGGCATGTCACCATATTCTAATTTGTTGAGATAGTGAATTGGTGGGTTTTTGTTAAATGTGAGCCAAAATCATCACAATTAAAAGAACCAAAGACTTAAACTACTTCAGGCTGTTCGCATTGAATTTATTTAATACACGAGTTTCACAATTTGAGTTGAATTACTGAAATAAATGATCTTTTCCACAACAGTCTAATTTATTGAGATATACCTGTATATGTGTGTACTGTGTATATTTATTATGTATACATAAATACACACACACATGCATGTATATTTAAGATAAATGTTATGTTTATATATTAAATATATTTATATATAATATAAATTATATGAATGTAAATATATACATGAAAATATTTTCAAAATATATACCGTATGCATGTGTCTTTATATATACATAATAAATATACACAGTATACACATACACATTATATAAACAAGAACTTTTATTTTGGATGCGAATAATCATTGCCCAGCACTAATTTTTATACTATAGTACAGGGTTCCTCAAATCTTGCCCTGGAGGGCCAATGCGCTTCAGAGTTTAGCTCCAACCCTAATCAAACTCACCTACCTGTGATTTTCTAATGATCCTGAAGACATTGATTAGCATGCTCAAGTGTGTTTGATTAGGGTTAGAGCTAAACTGTGCAGGAAAGTGGATCCCGTGGGCCAGATTTGAGGATCCCTGCTATAGTAGATCATTATATTATAGTAGTGTAGCAAATTATATAAGATATCCATAAAATAAATGACATATTAAATTCTAATTTAAGTTATAATAATTTAATTTAAATGTCATTTAATTAATATAATATATAAATCATACGTATATTATTGTACTATAGTAGATGATTATATTATATAGTGCAGTAAATGACAGAATACCTTTCTGTTCTGCAATCCATTAAGAAAATATTATAATACATTTTAATATAAATGATAATAATCATTATAATAATTTAATTTATATTATATCAGATTATTTATTTACATTTACATTACATTTAGCAGACGCTTTTATCCAAAGCAACTTACAAATGAGGACAATGGAAGCAATCAAAATCAACAAAAGAGCAATGATATGCAAGTGCTATAACGAGTCTCAGTTAGCATTCATTCTCAGTTATATTATATTATATTAATAGACAGGTAACTCACAAGGTTTTTCGGAATAAAGCTAATGTGTGTGCGTTTTTTATATATATATAAGAAACAGCTGTGAATTTACCAAACTCCTCTGGCTCCATGTACTCCACCGCATGGATGCCGGTCAGATACTGGAGTCGCCCCTGAATGCGGGTCCTCTTCTCTCCGGTCAGCTTATCCACGCATTCGATCATCTGCTGCTGTTTGTCGATCCAGTACAGATGATCACCCAATACAGTCAGACCGACAGGCTGAAGGATGTTGGAGTCCTGGAGAATGATACGATTGGCCCCTGGGAAACAAACAAAGAGATCCGCAGAGTCATAATTCAAGTTTTTCCACTGTGTCACGTTATAAATCGTATCTTTTCGGCCTTTGTGTTGGTCATTTGGCAGCAGGGGGGGTTCTGTTGCGTAAGGAGATTAGCCGTGGCTTAAGGTGTGACCATCTGTCTTATGCTAACATCAAACATCAGAGCTCAGCATCTGGAGAGACTTTGCTTTCTGGCAGCTCACTGGCAATCATAAAGCGATTTTCTGTGACGAAGGCACTTAAATAACCTCAGAAGAATGAACCAAGATACAGTCCATCAAATTCTTCATTAGAGCTTGTCAATGTATATACCAGGTTAAGACAACACAGACTATACTGTTTTGATTAGTTTAGACTAGACGGTATTGATAATATACAGTGCAAGTATAGATAGTGCCTGGCCTGTGCTCTCGGCCAGTATTTGTTTGGTTTCCATCGCTATGTCATTTGACATGTTTAGAAGATCAAATCTCATTGGAGAGGTCAGAAAGTTGTCCTTGTTTGATATGGCGTTCCAGAATACTGCAGAACTGATAGCAATCAATTTGCCCACAGGCGATACAATACAAGACAGGGAAAAAAAAAACATTTTGAGCATGAGATTCAGTGACATTTATGGTTACGTGTTGAGGGAAAAGACCTAATCTTTCTGGGAAATTTGTGACATCAAAATTGATCTTCAAAATAAATGACTAACATTGAGTTGCATGGGAACATTTAGTTTTTCAAGTCTTAAATCATGATGTTTTGGTACAATATTACAAACAACACAATTGCTGTTATTATGACGGCACAAATCTCTTTTACATTACTATTTTTAAAACTCAACTTTAACTCTGTAATTGTTATACTGATTATTAGGTATGCACAATATATTGTTATTTTACTATTATTTATATATCATTACAGTATCTATTAGTACTTTGAATTAGATTTTTTTTATATTTCAGTTGTCATTTTAATTTTAGTTTAAGTTTTAATAATTGTGTTATGTGCTTTTGCCATTTTTATTAGATTTAGTTTTTTTCTTTTAATTTGAAAATATTTAGCTTTTTCAGTTTTTATTTTACTCAGACAAAATACTACAGATATTTGAATAAAGGCTTTGACATGAGATATGCAAGCAAAAATGTAGTAGTATTTACCAGACAGGTCACTGCTCTCAATCCGTTTCAGGTCTGCGTCCACCCAGAACAGTTTGCCCAGCTTGTTGTCCAAAGCCAGTGCAACGGGGCGGATCAAGCCGGTTGTGAACAGGGATTCACGCTCCGTCCCATCCAAAGACGCACCTTCAATTTTAGCTGAACGATCCTGGACAGTAGTGAAATACATGTATCTGTGGAAAAAAAGGGTTTGGAAATTACATACCATTTTCCTAATGGTAAAAATATGCAGTAAAAATGTGACTAAAAATGTGGCTTTAATCGGATTATACAAACATCTTTCAAGATGTTTCAACATTTAATGAAAGTGTTTGTAGTAATTTATGTTATTGCATTGCATAACAAACACATGATCTGTAGGAATGGATAAACATTCATTTGTTGAACAGAGGGAGCATCTTTGATGGGGCCATGTTGTTTTGACTGTGTGGGAGAATTGGTGTATATCTTCACACATCCCAAAAGCCCTTTAGCCGTAATGTTATGTCTAGACGAGTCTGAGATAACTCTCAAAGGTGCGTTTTCAGTTGCTGTCTGGGAAATTTTTCTCGGCTTAAAAAAACCAGAACGCTGATATTGATATCGTACAGTACAGTGTCTTTAAAAATTAGATAAATTATCACAGCAACAAAGTAAACCACTTAAAAACAGTTAACTCCTTTGGGAAACGTTTGGGGGATCTACATTATGTGTGATGCATTTCCAATGCTAAGATGGGAACAGAAGAAATTAATAAACCCCAAAATTGGTTTGGCTGATGGATCTGAAGACGCCTTCTCTGAGTCAGAGCACTATGGAGTGTTATGTACTCGCTAAACATCTGCCAATGTCTGACTTTAGGGCGGGGAATGTAGCATATTGCGTATTAAATTTCCCACCTGTGATGTTAAACAAATCCTTATGCGAACATCTTTGAAGATGTTTTGATCCCGAACGATCTGAAAAACTAGGTAAAGCAATGCTTCATCAATTTGACGACATTTTGAGGTTGTCGGATTTGACAGCATTTTGGATCCAGATCCAACGACTAGCTTATGTGAACTTTCAGAGAGGGTCAGCCCAATGTCTTGACCAGAACAAATAAGGCACACCTAATGAAATGAGGTTTAAAAAAAAACATTAAAAAAAAATTTTGGTAACACTTTACTTGAAGGGGTGTGCATAAGACTGACATGACACCTTCATAATTATGACATGACACATGTCATGAATATGAAGGAGGTTGTATGCATGTTTATGACAACTGTCATTAAGTGTCATTCGCTCAGTTATGTCATTTTTAATGCAAATATGACATTATTTGACCTAACCCTAACCTAACCTTACCCCTACCCTTACCCCTAACCATAACCCATAACAAAGACATCTCAAACAATGTCATCTTTGCATTAAAAATTACATAACTGAGCGAATGACACTTAATGACAGTTGTCAAACATGCATAAAAACCCTTCATATTCATGACATATGTCATGTCATGATTATGTTGGTGTCATGTCATTATTATGAAGGTGTCATGTCAGTCTTATGCACACCCCTTCAAGTAAAGTGTAACCAAAATTTTTAAAAAGAGAAATGTCAGCACCGATAGCCTTGTGGGGAGTGTGCCGTCATACAGCGTTGTTGCGCTATGGGCATCCCGAGTTTGAATCCAGACTCGAGGACCTTACCCATTCCAGGCCCTCTCTCTCCCATCTGTCCTAACGTAATAAAAGGCGAAAATGTAAAAAAAAAAAAATCTTAAAAAAAAAAAGATTAGAAATGAAATAAAATAATGTTGCCCATTTTATGATTTATTTTTGAAATTTTTACCTTTTATTATAATAGGACAGATCATAACTGACAGGAAGCAAAGCGGGAGAGAGAGAGGGGGGCGGGATCGGGAAAGGTCTTCGAGTCAGGATTCGCTGTATTTTGGCGTGCTGCCCACAAGGCTATCGGTACCGACTTGCCTTTTTATTTATATTTTTAGTTTTACCAAAAATTACTAAGACTAAAACTGAAATAACAATAAATGGAAATTAAACAAATACAACAAAAAAAAAAAACTAATTTTCACAAATATATTAAAAAAAGTAATAAAATGTGCACATAACTAAATTACTAAAATGTGAACTAAATTAAAATAGCCCATTTAAGATATTAATAAATACTATAAAAATATATAAATAATACAAAAAAACATGCTGATTCTATTTAGCCATCTCATAAACAAAGCAGCATAATCTGGTCAAATTAGGGATAAATGCGAGACTAAATATAGGGATAAATGCAATGAGCTTGATCTCAGATATGCCGGTTTTTGTGCCATAATTTGCTCTCTTGTGGGAGACGTCCCCTCCACCCCACCCAGACGAGGCTGTGAGGGTGAGACGTAAATAGAAAACCCACTGATGACGGTCACACTAACAATGGGACACACAATTACAGTGCATGCAGCCAACGCCTGCGTATGGTCGACCCGCGAGCGAGCGCCACAGCATGGGGACCACAGAGGGCCATCTGTTCCACATATTTGGCTATTGGAGAGGCCTGGATGGAATCAAGAGTTTTCCTACAGTACGAAAGAAATGGCGAAGCGCCCCGTCATTAGAGTATCCAGTTATGCGCTGTAATTTCAAGTCCACTGGCCATAAATCAATAAACATTTGATACAGTGTTGTTATGTTTATGGAAAGGAGCCAAACCGCAGCTGAATAATAAAATCTGCCCCCGAGGTTATGGATGAGCAGTTAAATTTAATGCAGGTTGTAATGATAATGACATGCCCTATATTTTATTTGCTAATTAATAATCGTACCCTTTCTCAGCGTTCACCACGATAGCGCGTGGCTTGTCCACATCATCCTTCAGGACCTCCCCGATCACATGGCCGTCCATGCAATGGATGTTGATGGTGTTGGTGGTCTCGCAGGTCCAGTAGACGGTGCGACTGTAGGGGTCCAGACTCAAGTCATGAGGCTGCTTTGGGTGGAGGTTGGTTGGGGTCATCACTGTGGACGCCTGGATAATTCAGATGACATTAATTTAAATTAGGACTGCTAACATACAATTACATGATATGCTGAGTAATTAATCAATTTAATAAAAAATTCCATATCATATATCAATTTCATGAAAATAATACGAAAAGTGGATCGAAAATGGTTTTAGATAACAAATATTGAAATATAAAAATTATTTATTTAAATAATAATCATTATTAACATAATGATGTCATATATTATAATAGCATTATTAATATTAATAACAATATTTGTTATTATCAGTATACTACTACTAATACTACTAAAATATTTCTTGAAATATTAAGATTAATACTTAAAACGGACCCACTTTTTGTTTTATCTTTTAGGATAATTATATATATAATTATAAGCTGAATAATTAATCAAATTAATTACAAATTCCATATCATATAATATATCAATATCATGAAAATCATACAAAAAGTAAATCAGAAATGGTTTTAAATAACAAATATAGAAATATTTAAATGATTTAAATAATAATAAGTATTGTTGTTATCAATATAATAATGTCATATATTATAATAATGTTATTAATGTTAATAACAATATTGGTAATTACCAACATACTACTAAAATTACTACTACTAATAATAATGATAAAATTATTTCTTAGTAAACACTGACCCACTTTTTGCATTATATTAATTTTGGGATAATAATAATAATATACATAATTACAGGATAAGGTGAATAATTATTATTAATAATTAAAAATGATGATAATAATAATAATTATTATTATTATTTATATTATAAGTTAAATATTATTATAATTAATAATAAACAACAACAAAAACATTTTTTAGTAAACACTGACCCACTTTTTGTATTATCTTAATTTTAGGATAATTATAATAATTTACCGTCAACATAATTACACAATAAGCTGAATGATTAATCGAATGAATCACAAATAATAACATGTTTTTATAATAATAATAATATATATTTTTTACTTTAAATAATATATATTTTAATATATATGTTCTACTTTAAATATATACAAATAATTAATCAATTAAACAATAAATATAGTGAGTATACTATCATGATCAAGTAACATCAACATTGTTTGAACAGTCACCTGACTGCCGTCGTCTTGGGCCCTGCGGATGTTTTGTCGGCCATCCACCCAGTAGACCAGGCGTTCCAGAGGGTCAAAGCTGATGGCGCGCAAGTTCTTCATAACGTGGATAGGTAGAATCATGTCTGGACTCTGTTCTCCCAGGACCATTCGACTGATGGAGCTCTTCTGGCTGAAGAGCAGGAAGCTAGAGGGCGCTGTTGAGGAAAACAAGAGGAAGGCGAGAATGAAGGATCCAAAACTAAGTTATAGGAGCACAGGCCAACAATGGACATCTCAGAGCCAGCTCCATTCCTCTGATCAGAAGGTGAAGGTCAGCTAAATGCAATCATACGAACTAAACACAATCAGCCTTTCCCTCCAGGCCATGAAAGAATGAAGAAACAAGAGGGAGTAAAAACACAAGTAGAAACACATTAGCGCTGCCAAGACCTCTGCACTCTTGGCCAATTGCTCTCACCGTGCTCCCTGGCGTGCTTGTTTAATCCAAGTTCTGTCATTTTTAAGCTTATAAGGAATTAAATGCATATGACTGAGTTTTGCATGGCCGGGAGCCATTGTTTTCTAATGCCGTTTCAAACTGCCAACTGCATCTTAAAACCCATGACTCACTTTAATGTCGGTAAAACCCAGTGAAAACTTCATGGCTGGGAGACCATAGATTACTTTACTCCTGATGGCTGCTAAAATCTCCAAACAGTGCATTTTAATAAGGGTTCAGGAAAAAGGACAATATTATGGAATAATAACTTATTATTATTAATTATTAATACTTATTATTAAGAGTAGCATTAATAGTATAATAAATTATAAACGTGTTTATACAACAGTAGTAATATTAGTAAATATTACATTTATAATATTTATTTGTATACAAATATAAATACATTTATATAACAAAAATTACACGCACACACACACAAAGCCTGTATATATAGTACATATAATCTCAGTAGTAATAATAGTAATAACAACATAATTATTACACTACATATAAACACTAATAAATATATTATTATAATACATATAAACATTCGACATATAATAATTATTATTAGTAGTATACATCTGAACATGTTACATAATGATTATAATAAAGCAATAAGTAATAAAAAATGTTAAAGAATAAGTATTATTGATTTATTATGATAATTAATATTATTCATTACAATTATTTAATAATGTTGTCCTTATTGCTGAACACTGATAATTCAACTGTTGAGATTAGCATATTGCAATTATATCTATAATCAATAATAAATTATATAAATTGTAAATAATTCGAATAATTATTACAATTACTATTATTATTACTAATAAACTCTGTAAAAATATAGGCAGGGGGGGAAAAAAAATCTAAATTACCTGCTCATATCGGCCAGAAGAATATTTAATTATTTATTTATTTACTGCCCTAAAATAATTAGAAGCCAAAGAAGAAACAATGGTACAAAATGCAGCAACTTTGAACACCTTACATTTCCCTTCTAAACACTCCACGCCAAAACTCACAGCTGCAGTTGCGTCCGTTTGCCTCCAGGGTGTAGTGGGAAGCGCAGCGGCACTGGGCTCCAGAGGGTGATGCTAGGCAGAGGTGGGTGCAGTTGCCGTTGTTTTGCGAACACTCGTTGGCGCCGTCTTGTCTGGAGGAGTGGAAAACCAGGATGTCCATGACATACTCCAGGTGCCCTTGCACCACCGTTCGGTTCAAGCCACTGCGTTTGTCCGCCCGCTCGATGCTGCGCAGGTTCCAGTCAGTCCAGTAGATGTAATCGCGATACTGAGTCAAGCCAAAAGGATGAGGAAGATCGTCAGCCACTATCTCTCTCTGCAAACCTGAGGACGATAAACCAAGAACATTGAAGGGTCTAATATCGTATGGTTTAAGAGGCATTTCTGATGATTGTGGGTTTTTTAAAACCTATGATTTGTCACCTTGCATGTTTGTCGACTCAATCATGCAGGTGTCCAGGTCTGTCCAGTAGAGTCGCTGGTCGATGAAGTCAATTGTGAGTCCGTTGGCTCGGCCCACTTTGTCCACCAAAGTCATGATGTTACTGCCATCCATGTGAGCTCGAGCTATCCTGGGTCGACCTCCCCATTCTGTCCAGTACATGTACCTGCAAACCCAAATCATTTACTTGATTGCGGATCTAACAAAACTAGAATGAACTTCACCTGTCATCACATGGACAAAGACGTGCTAAATTGAGCCAAAATTGCTAATTTTCAACTGCTGTCCCCGGGTAGGATGATAAACCAAAAAAAACACGCTCTATAAATCATAAAAACATTCTTCCTAAATATAAAATAAACAAACAATGAATTAATTAGTCATTTCCTATATAGTTCCTAATTTACTTGCATTGATAAATACTTGATAAATAAGAATATAAATAATAATATAAAATTGAGAATATAGTTATTAATAGATACTGAAGTTACTAATATTTATTTACATTTAGACAAAATATTTAAAACAATTTTATTATTAAATTTTTAAATACACTTCTTCATAAAATAGAGTAAATTAATGAATGTTAATCTAGCTACAGCAAATTAAACTAAAGAAATACATGTACTAATAATTTATTATTCATTTTTATTTGCCATGTAATTAATAAAATATGTATTAATCATACATTAAAACATATATATATGTTATATATATATATAAAACATTTAAATATTATAGTGATATGTATTATTTATAAATAAATCAACATATAACATACACATAAAAATATAATGAATGAATAAATGACAAATGATTGTTTAATACAGATAAAATGAAAATTAATAAAATAAATATACAATAAAAATAATGTACTATTAATTTATTATTCATTTTATTTGCTATGTAATTAATATAGTTATTATATTATAGGAATTAACCATCCATTAATACATATTCAATAAATAAGCATTAATAATATATAAAATTGATAATAAAAATAGTCATATTAGATACTGATGTTACAAATATTTATGTTAATACAAAATATAAAAAAATAATATTTATTGTTTAATTAATAAACTATTTAATAAGTAAAATCAAATGAATGTCTAGCTACAGCAAAATCTTTTTATTTGCAATATAATTAATATAATAATAATTATATTGATTAATCATATTAATAAATAAACATTGAATTAATAATCATTAATAACAAAAACAAAAAGCGTTTTTTGATACTTAAGTAATCATATTTAAAAATAATATTTATACATAATGTTTACAAATAATAATACTAATATGTATTCCTTTATAAATAAATGAATTTGTAAAAAAAAAAGTGTAGCTATAGCAAAAGCTTGTATGACAGGTCAAAACTGAGCTGCCCATGATAAACAATGCAAAAATTTTACTTTTCCCCCATCGGGTAAGCAAGCAGTGAAAAGCACACCTAACCAACCCCTCAGCCCACTCAATACACCACTGGCCTAAGAGTCAACTGAGTCAACACCTCTCAGTGTTAAGATGAGAAGAGACAATGCTGAAGAATGCGTTGGCTAATAGAGGCAGTCGTGCCTCAGAAGCCACAGGAATGCCTGCTGGGTGCTGGAGGACATGACTTCACTCCTCTGAGCCACATGCAGCGGCTGCGGCATGTTGGCACTTGTCTTCTGCCACACATACAACTTGATGCCCCGAGGACGCGCTGTAATACCAATGAGTGTGTCTGTGTTGGAGAATGAGGGCATTAAATCAGATATTTAAACTAGTGGTAATCGATTAGCATACTTCCAGAGGGCTACAAAATGTAGGAAGCCTACGGTTAACCAAAACACAAGCGGATGTGTGAACACGTGAACACTAAACCGTGCGTATGCAACATGGTTAAAGTGATATGCAACGAATTTAAGGGTGAAATTGTAGCTAAAGGAGTCAGAGCAGGATATATTTTAAAGCTAGTGTTCCTACCCACTGGCAGGATCCAGAGCAAGAGAGCGAGGGTTATCCAGGTCTTTGCAGACCAGCACTTGTCGGTACTGGCCATCCAGACGGGCCACTTCAATACGGTTGGTGCCAGTATCAGCCCAGTAGAGGTTTCGACCCATCCAGTCCACAGCCATTCCCTCAGGATAGTCCAGGCCAAACTCTATGACCGGTTCCACTGAACTGCCATTCATGAAGGCTCTGCTGATAGTCTAAACAAGAAAAGCGATCAAGGAAGTGACTAAATACTCAAGCTAAGAGCATTAATAAAAATATATACACACACAATTGTGCAACTGTCACAAAGTGTGAAAAAGCCCAAAAGGCTATTTAAGACTGACACTAAGCAAGCTGCTACATGCTACTGCTAAAAAAAAGCAATACTCATTTAGGAGTCATTTTTATTTGTTATATAATATATATATATATATATAAAAGATAAAAGTGTCTGCTAAATGTCTAAATGTAAATATAATGTTATAGAAATATTTACATTTATTGAATTAATAAGAATAAAATGTATTAACTAACTGATTAATAAATTTATTTATTATGAATAAATAAATAAACTTTAACATTAAATAACCTGCTAATAGAAACAGTCATTATTTGATAATGATGTTATTCACATTTACAACTAATATTTCAAAATAATATTAATGTTTTATATTTAATGTTCATGTTTAAATTCATCATAAAACATGATGTTTTGAATATTTAGCATACATTTCCACTGTAGTGATTAGTGTTGTTTGCTAGATGTATCTTCTATAATAACTATATTTAAATATATATATGTGTGTGTGTGTGTGTGTGTGTGTGATATAAAGGGCTAACTGTTTTATAATTTTGTTACACTCATTTTTAAAAAAATATTTTATTATAATGTTCTATTTTTATTTGATATATTTATGGAAGAAAATGCCTTAAAAACATGACATTAAAATATATAACATTAAATATATATTTAAAATATAACATTAATATAACATTCAAAAAATATGTGTCACAAAATAAAAAAACGGTTAGCCCTTCAGAGCTTTTAAAACTGAAATTAGCCACTAACTGTTAATGTTAAAAGCATTAATGCTGCTTTGTAACAGATATTTTAGAACATTTTAAATGGTTTTCTTGTCTCAGTAGCATTTAAGAACAGCTCAGAATTTACATGCTGGTCTGACATGGTTTAAGCTAGTTAGTGCCGGTTTAGCTGGTGGATTAGTTTTGCCATACTGTTCACCAACACAATACTTCTAAATATCGTCTTATAACCATTCTTATTTGTTTTACAATGAAAGATAATGTTATCTTAAAAGTGCAATACAAATGTAATCATCACAAAATTGAAGAAGACAGGCTGCTTGAGATCTTTTGAGGTGAAACATCTTGGACGTCTTTCCCACTGACGTTTTAAATCTGAGTGCAACAGCTGCTTTGGGTTAGAAGCTGATGGCATCGTTTTATCATCCTCCAGTGCGGAGGTAAAAATCGACAGCTAAACTTTTCATAATCCTTGGTTTACTTTTCCTTTGATTTTAATGTACAATCGCTCACTCAAAATGTCACAATCTCTCACCACCACAACGTTCTTTTTACAGATACACCGGAGTTAAAAAGTTAAAATCATGATGGACACAAAAGTAGTCCGTACCTTGGTGATGACATCGGTCCAGTAGATCCTGTTTTCCAAAACATCAAAGTCCAGTGCGGAGACCTCCTTGACCCCGGTGAGCGGGATGGGCACGTCGTTGCTGTTGGTGCCCAGAGAGATGCTGCGTATGTCAGCACGGTTGGTGAAGAGCAGGAACGCTTCTGGAACCACACAAGTGCGCAGATCACTCAGCAACTCCAAGCCCATGGGGCAGGCGCAGCTTAGACCCTGAGGCCCATGGAAACACAGGTGACTGCAGCCGCCATTGTTTTCCGCACAGCCGTTAGTGCCTGAACACACACAAATGGAGATCTATGGATCAGCTTCATGGACATGCATTGATCTCACAGTGATATAGTGTTGCTGTTTGAAGTCCTCCTATTAGTTTTGTGGCAGAAACCATTTTTTATTAAATTAATCTATTTATAAATTAAATATTACACATATATAATTCTGTCGGGACCACTATCGTCAAAATGATTGACACAGTTTGGTTTGGTGGTAAAACTCCCTGCCCATCCATGCAGCCTGTCATGAATGAGCAGGGAGAGCAGCAATAATAACCCCAAGGGTAAACAGAACAGAACAAAGCAGATATCATTAATGTACTTAATTATATTTAAGTGTAACACATTATTCAAGATAAAAGGAGATAAAAGATTGAAAGCCAAGTCCTGACTGTAGCGAAAGGAGGAGTTGGGGATGGAGAAGGGTAATTTGCTCCTGAGCAAGCGAAAAAGGATAGATGTATAGCTGAGGGATATAGGTAGATGTGATCAGCTGAGTCAGCCGATGCAAGCTTGACTCACGTGACCTGCCAGAACTAATGCTATATGCTTAATTTCTGTCCTTAATTACTCATGTTGTTCCAAACCCGTAAGACCTTCGTTCATCTTCGGAACACAAATGATTGAAAGCCAAGTCCTGACTGTAGCGAAAGGAGGAGTTGGGGATGGAGAAGGGTAATTTGCTCCTGAGCAAGCGAAAAAGGATAGATGTATAGCTGAGGGATATAGGTAGATGTGATCAGCTGAGTCAGCCGATGCAAGCTTGACTCACGTGACCTGCCAGAACTAACGCTATACGCTTAATAAATATTTTCAAATGATAAAAAAAATCTATTATATCTATTGTAATTTGTATTTATCAGTGTTATTTTAGTATAACTTTTATACTATATACACTAGTATTTATTAATTTCAGCTTTTTTCAATTCAATTTTTAATAGTTTCAGTACAAGTTATTTAATAAGGTATTAATAAATTATTTATAAACAATTTATTTAAATTAATTATTCTAAACACTAACATCAATATTGAAAAATAAACAAATGTATTATTATTAATACTATTTTTGTTCAGAAGTATGAATTTCATAATATCAATAAAAAAAATTAAAAAAAATCAAAGTATAAAATATCAAATAAATAATTTTTGTTAAAATATCAACAACAAAAAAATTTGTATTTAGCATATTACATATTTTAATAAGTAATTTACTAAGGTTTCAGGGGCATTTAAAATATTTTTCTAAACAATTCAAAGGAGTTCCAGGTTTGAAATTCTTTGTCCAGATTTCTAGAAGAATCAATAATTAGCAAAGGTCACTGGATGTGATAAATATATAGTATTTCACAGCTATACATTTTAATATGTAATCACGCAATTAATAAAAAAAGTAACTAGTTACTAAAAAAAGTAAGCAATTTGATTATGAACGTTTTAAAATGTAATCCAGATTACATGTAATCCGTTACTGCACAGTACTGCATAGATCACGGTTCTGATTTTCAATATACCTTTCAGGTCAGAATATTATTAAAAGTAAGAGGTCTTACCAAAGGTCTCTGAGACTTTTGTGGCTTTGAGACCCATGAGGTCAGGGAGCTGCTCGACGATGACCTCACGTGTGGCGTTGGTGATGTGAACTCTTTCGATGCTCCTCCTCTGCCAATCCGTCCAGTAGATATACTCTCCCAGCAGCGTAAAACCAAAGATATGAGGTAGTTTGTCCTCTAGAATGGTCATCCTATTAGTGCCATCCACATTAATGACCTGTGAACAAAAAATATATATATATATCACTTAGGTTTTGTCCATGGTCACCATTCATCTTCACTGTGTGATCATCTCCTTTTGTGTTCCACATAAGAAAGAAAAGTAATACAATACATTAGGATGAGAAGGTTTTATGTTTAAATGAACTAGGCCTATCTCTTTAAGAAAACTGACAATTGTAGGTGGTCAGATCAAACTATTTCAATTAACAGCAGAAAACAGGAAACAAATGAACAAATCAGCCTGGATCTGTTTATGTTTGCCAAACAGCTGCACACCACATGCACCATTGGACAGATCTCCAAATACTCAGATATTTGAACTGCCATAATTGCAGTATCCTAATCCAAACCAGCTAGGATTTCCCAATTGTGGAAAAAAAAATCCCCAACCAAATATGTAACTGCCAAAAGAGTAGCTATTTTAAGTCATTACAGAGTACGCACGCTTGAGCATGACTCTTTGAATCTCTACGTTTAGTCCTTTTTCACTAAAGAAAGGCCACACAATCATTCCTATTTCAGTGAACGTGACAAAATAAGATTCCAGTCACAAGGGTTGCATTACAGGGAGGAAAATAACGCAAACTGATATAGGGAGTGGAGTCAGGACATGCCTGAATCTTTAAAAAAAAGAGAGAGGGAGAAAAGCAAGAGAAAGTGACAGATGGGAGGTTGAAACCAAGTGGGTTGCTGGGAATTGGGTTTGTTTCTGAAAAGGTTGCAATTACCGTTTCTGGAAACCGTCCTGACATTACTACTTCTCAAAATAGACGGCTTTCCATTTTTCACATTTAGCGAACGGGTGTCAGTTGCAGTAAATGCTACCCACCTAATCAAATACATTCTGCAAAAAGCTTGAAACGGGCGAAAAACTGCAACGAAAAACCTCGAAAGCTACTAGCTTTATCCAGGCTTATTACGAAGGCCTGCAACTGATCAGAGTTAAAAACACTTGCTTTCTCTTTCCAATACCAGAAAGCACCGTTTCACCACTTCATTGAATTCATGTTGATAAAAGCATTCCATTTTATTATATATATATATACATATTTTAATACATGTAATGTACTCATCATGAAGTCATTACTGGAAAGCATCCATGCTTTTTATGTTGCAAAAGCTGTTGGGAGTTTTTGACATCCTATACCTGTGCAATCAGACACTAAGAAATGCAGAAGGCTTTTTTTTTTTTTACTATTTTCAAACCGCCTGCAGTCAGATGTCTTTGTTTGCCGAATGAAACCCATGACAGTTTACTCTATCATGTCTTCTCCCTGAATGATGAATGAGATTATAAACGCTCAAACGAGCAGGTCAAGATTGAGTGACGGGCGTATTAATGCAGCATATTGTTCCTGGGTAAAGTAGCTCTCCGAACAAAGACTTCCTGTGCGCTGTCTTTTCCAACCCAGAGTTCTTCCTGTGAGGACCGGTGGAGGGGGATTTGGGATTGGGGCGGCTGCCAGGGAGGGGTGTCCACCTGATTTATTTCTGTAATGAAGGCCTGCGGAGTGGCTGACTCTCAAGTCTCAGTAAAGAAAGCAAGAAGAGAGACGGAACAGAAATAAGTGCACATTATTTTAAATTAGCACCTTCCTTTCTCAGTAATTTCAGCACTATGGTGGAATCTTGTGGGGGGTTGGGAGGGAAACTGGTATATTTGCCACCTCTGAGAAGGCAAAGGCTATGTTGGAAGTAGCATACGACCATACTATGTGTAGTATTTTAGCAGAATGCAGTACGTATACTGAAATAACATACTACTTTTACAAAAAAGTTTAAATTCAGAGCAGAACCAACTGCATCAAGTACACGCTTCCATTTCGAGAGTGACAAATACAAATAAAATTAAAAAAAAATTAAAAAATTTGATTTTTTTTTCTTGACTTCTCAACATTTAACAAGACGTTTTTTTTTTTAAAACAAAACTGGATTCAAAATGTAAAATAATTATTATTTCTGAAATAAACAAGTAATGATGTCAAGCAGAACCAAAAGTTTTCATTTTATATTCCATATCATCTCACACACTATAACACATATATATGGATGTATGTATGTATGTATGTATGAATATATATATATATATATGTATATATAACACTCCCTAAATAAACATGGAATTTGTTAAAAATATGCTAAAATAACATGAAATATCTATCAATCTATCTGTCTATCTATCTATCTGTCTATCTATATACAGGTGCATCTCAATAAATTAGAATGTTGTGGAAAAGTTAATTTATTTCAGTAATTCAACTCAAATTGTGAAACTCCTGTATTAAATAAATTCAATGCACACAGACTGAAGTAGTTTAAGTCTTTGGTTCTTTTAATTGTGATGATTTTGGCCTGCTGGAAAATGAAATCAGCATCTTCAAAAAGCTGGTCAGCAGAAGGAAGCATGTTCTCCTCCAAAATTTCTTGGTAAACGGGTGCAGTGACGTTGCTTTTCAAGAAACACAATGGACCAACACCAGCAGATGACATTGCACCCCAAATCATCACAGACTGTGGAAACTTAACACTGGACTTCAAGCAACTTGGGCTATGAGCCGATTTATCTATCTAAAAATTGCATATATAAATAATAAAAATATATATACATACACGTTTACACATACATAATTAAATTTATTATTTGTGTGTTTTTATACACGTACACACACACTTAAATTGATATAAAAAAATAATAAATAAGAAGAATTGTATTAATATGTAGTATTTTAGATTTGATGACCTATAAAATAATCATATTCATTTCCAAGATTATATCTGGATGCAACTCTCAACTAAACATGAAATGAGGTCATCAAACATTTGTTTCATATTGCACACTGTTTCACATATTACTTAAGAATAATAATAAAAAAAAGTTTACTTTTCCACATTGTGTACATATACGGCTTTTTAATAAAAAAACGGTACATAGTATATACTAGGCCTATGCCTGCAGTTCACACTACATTAGTATTGCATACTGAACACAGAAATCACAGATGATTTCTTTAACAGAGAAGGAGTGTGGTGTTTTGGTACTTGGAGAAGGGAAAGAGATGTGAAGGGAAGTTGAAGCTGTTGTGAAAGCCTCCTCTTTCCTCACTGTTTGAGACAGCGGAGGTGCTGACACTCTGGAGGAATGCTAACAGACAGAGACAGTGGGCTGAAACCACAATGGTACATTTTTCTTACACTCCTCCTAACACATAGACGTCTCGAGGGTTTAAACCGGGCGCCTTCCTGCGGGATGCAGACTTTTCTCAACCCTGGAGAAAAGGTTAGAGGCCTACAGCACTGCAGAAGCATGATGAGATGGGCCAGAACTTACGCCATCGCTATATCATAGTACCACCACAATACTTTTTTTTCCAAAGGAGGTGATATGAACATGTGTTTTAAGCTGCCTTCTGTCTTCCGAAAAGGCCAGGATAGGGTTTTCAATGGAGGAGGGGCCCCAGACTACAAAAGTGTTTGGCTTTTCCCACCTCCTTCACAAAGCCATTGACACATGACGTGACAAAATGGTGTTTCTATGGCACCAATGCAGAGCAGAGACACAAAACACACTCATGGACCTTCCTGGAAGCCTGTCAGGCATCTTGTGTGGTACTCTACAAATGAACCAAAAATATGAAAAAATATTAAGCACCACAACTGATAAAAAGAAATGATTCATGAACACCAAATCATCATATTAGAACGAATGAAAGGTCATGTGACACTGAAGACTGGCGTAATGATGCTGAAAATTCAGGTTTGCCATCGCAGGAATAAACTATATTTTAAAATCTATTAAAACATAACACAGTTATTTTAAATTAGAAAAATATTTCACATTTTTACTGCATTTCTCATCAAAGAAATGCAGCCTCAGAAAGCAAAGTAGACGTCTTTCAAAAAATACTACCGTTTTAACATTTGTAAAAAACTAACTTTGTGGGATACACAATCTTATAAACAGTGTTGGGGAGTAACTAGTTACATGTAACAGAGTTATGTAAATACAAAATAAATGTAACTGTATTCTGTTACAGTTACTGAGAAAAAATGTGTAATTAAATTAGTTACTTATGAAAATGTTAACCATTACAAAGGGGGTTACATCTGAATATTTTCACACACGTACAGATTTAATTGATTTCTTTCACAAATTGCATTGACTGCTCTAAAATATGAGACACCAATGTTTCAGGAGTTTAGGACACAGAATAGGCCATGCTTATTTGATTTCAATATATGATTTTAAATCAGTATTTAACCTCAGAATGATCTCAAAGTAAAAAAGAGGTGCTAAAAACTGATTTTGTGGTGGCTGTGTTCGAAAATGACTTTTATTTAATATTTTAATTCAAGTGATAAAGGACTTTGAATGTCTGACAGTAATCAGTGTTGAATACTACTTTAAGGTTAACCCTGCCTGGTTTAAATGTTTGAAAATGAATAATAAAGCAATAAAGTAATTGAAATAGTTACACTACTTGTTACATTTTAAATAGGGTAACTTTTAACGATTACATTTCCAAAGTAACCTTCCCAACACTGCTTTTTAGGTTTAGGCCTACATGGTTTTAAACATATTGTTTTCTCAAGCTTCAGAACAAAAAAAGCGAGGTTTGGCCCAATTTTCCCATAGCCGCCTTTAAGTGAAATAGGAATTCTTTCCACTTGTGTAATCAGGAGTTTTATTGGATGGCATACCTTGCCGACATCTGTTTCCCCTTTTCTGCACAGCTTTGGACATTGTTCCTCTTGCACTGACCCCTCCTGTCCACTCCACCACTGCATCCCAGCAGCATTCCTCAAATCCCGTTCTACAAACTCAAACTAGCTTGCTCGTTTCTGCGGGAGTTGAGTGAAAGGGAAAGGGTGGAGTGCTACAAATCTAATTCAATGATCTCTCGCAAAACCATACATGTTCGTTCAAGAGATCAAGTTTGCAGCTGATCAATTTAGAACCCCAGCGCAGTTTCTGGAGTGTTTAAGGGGGATGGGAGA